TTGCTTTCATTTCTTGGACTACCGACTGGACCATGCTGGCCAAAGCGTTCATCGTTGGCGTCTCGCCGGACTCGTTGGGGACGTCGCGAGATGCTCCTTCAAGTTCTGTCATGTTTCGAGTTCTAACCTCGTTAGAGCTACGTATTTGTGATGTAAGACCAACTACGTTGGTTCTTAAAGGTTCAAGTGATCTAACTACGTTAGATTCAGCTTTTTCCAGTTGTTTTCTTCTTATTCTTTAGAAATCGACTTGCTTGATGCAACGCACGTGTGCAATGACTTGACGCATGCGCTGTGCTATCTCATGGGCTCTCCATGCCTCCAGTCATGTGATAGAATTTGAAGTCAGACAAGGCTTTGATCAGTCAAGTCTTTGTTGCCTTTTGCATCGACAGGAAGTTTTAATGGTGAATGTATAGTACATCCACATAAGCTAAATGCAGCTTTTCAAGTTGTGGCTGTAACAGCACATGACTGTTTCAGTAGTATTTTAATGGCATTTATAAGGTAGCTTTTTACTGTACCACCACCACCTATTATTATAAGCAATAATGGATGTTTTGGAAAAGGTTGTTCTGAATGTGCTTTAATTATGGTGTAGCCTTGTTTCTGCATTTCATTAAAAGTGATAATATCAATATTTTGGTCTGTTGCAGTTCTTGGTTTAAATGCTTGCTTGCTAGTTTGAATCCAAGAAGACATTTCTCTTATTTGACTCTCTTCGTATTTAAGTCTGTCATTTTGCCAATTATAACTTGTATGTATAGAGTCAGGAGATTGCCTGCCTGTGACACATAACACAAACATTCTCAATCATACATGAACATGTAGGAATCTGACCATTACCTTAACCATGATTTTTACTTACATTCCTATATGTGGTGCAGCTTGTTAAATTAAAGCCATCTAAGTTATGCTAGTATTTTAAGTCAAGTAGTGTAAATTAAGTAAAAACTGTTGCATGAGACTTCCTCTCTAATTTCATGTTCACAGTGTATTTTTTAAATCCATAGGGTCAAGATAGCTCAACAGTACAGCTATCTTGCAGTCAAAAGTAATCTTTGACTTGCTTACAATGAAGGTGAGCAATTAGTAAGTAAGTGTTAATTACCAGTAACAAATTTGCTCTTAATCCTAAGCTTTTGGTGTTAAAAGTGATGGACAACAATCAATTTCAAGCAGCTTATTATCTTTCTTTTTGAAATGGCCTTACTAAATCATTTAAGGGAATAAAATGAGGAAAGAATGCCTGATCAAAATACTTTAGAAATGTACTGCAATCTTCCAGGATTGTAGCAATTTCAGAGCAACTTTTTTCTTATGAGGAGTACTTGTTACTTCATCTGATAACTCATAGTCATTAGCATTTGGATGCCGGTTTTTCTGCATTAAGAAGGTTGCATCGCATACTTTTATGTCAGACTGTAGTTGTTTAGCGGCCTTCAGCACAAGAACTTTTATTTTTCCCAGGTGGTTTTTATACCTGTTGGCAATTTTTGGGCAATTTGTCAAGCTGTATCCCTTCAGGTGTTTTACCCACTACAACCTCTACTGCTTTGCTGTTTTTGAAGTGAGGGGCTGGTTACTTTCATATGACCTAGTACAAATTTCATGTTCTGAAAGCTGTGGAAGTTGGTTTTGCTCTATAGGCTCTTTGCTATTTTCTTGAGGTTCTTGTTCCTTTCCTTGTTCTTTGTCACTCTGTAAGTGGTCATGTAAGTTTTCAAGTTGTGATTCTTCTCTAAGATTAACTTCAGCAACTTCCATGTCATCACCATTGTCTATGTCTTCAAAAGATGGTTCTTGAGAAAAAGAAAAAATAAGGAACTAGACTATAATTTAATTGCTACATTTGTTTTATCCTGTTAATGAATTTCCTTGTAATACTGATAAATTACTGTAAGTATGCTTACGTACTCTATGGCAAAAGTCAAGAACTATGCCATGTAATTAAGGAAGCAATTTAGTTCTCAATTGTTCATTTTCCTATGCTAAAATGAAGCCACAGGAACGAATATGTTGTGTGTATTTTGGTTGCTTATTTTCCTTCACATTTTGTGTACATTTACATTTCCACATGTTTCATTTAACTGAAATTTTATCGTTGATTCCTATAATTACTTGAATGCAAATACCTTGTGGTTTGGTAATGAGATCAGTTTCTTCTGACATTCTTTAGCGGCTGAGGGGCTTGTAAACTAGTTCCCACTCTCATTTCTCAGCTGATAGAGAGGTAGTTCTTTGGGTTTCTCAGAACATTGTTTCCAAGCAGTCACCAAGCTGGTTTGAATGGCTTTGACTAAACTTGACCTGAAATGAAAGACATGAGGACCATCTGGGAGATGTATGGCTTCACTAGGGCCATCATGGAACTCTACTAAACCACCATCTTTCCAGTGCTGCCAAACCCCTGGTCCTGAGAGGAGGAAATCTCTTATTACCTCCAGCTGAGCCTGCCATAATCTTGCCTTCTTTGTTAACAGGTCTTTGCTTACTGTTGTGTTGGCTCTATCAAGTAACCTCTTTGCCAACTTTGTAATTTCCCGTTCTTGAATGCTGACTGTATTTTCTTCTGCAGTGATATCTTCTCCTAGTATATGATACTGGGAGATACAATTTACGAATGGTCATGGTCTTGGATGGGGTTAGTATGGCCCTCATTGCCAGTGCATGTTTACAGTACCGCTCGAAGATAAGCGAACCACCTAACGCGTTGTCAACGCGTGGGCTCGAAGAAGTTAACGCGTTAGTGCTTTTTCGCTAACGCGTTGATCATCGACCCGTATCGCCTTTGTTATTCACTT